TTAATACATTTGTAAATCACCATTATTAATAAAGTAGTTTATAAGATATCATGGAGAGCATGTCAAAACAAGCATTAAACAACTTATAGACATGTGATATGTTGCTTCCATAAACCCTTATAAACAGTCTTATCCAAATAGATACGCTTAAATAACGCAATCCAAACAAACCCTAAACCTTCAATTCACAAGCTAGCGCTACTCAGCTCGGTAACCATGTGTGATATTCTAGCCAATGCGGAATTTAATGGATATAAATTTGCATAGTATTAAGTTGGCACATGGTTTCTTAAATGGCTTACTTTGTCCTGAGCACTCCCAAACTAGTTTTAACATGTTACAACACTAATCCAAAAATGTTACAGCCGATATTGCAACCATAGTAGGCATGCAAGGATTTAATCAAGTGGCAGTTGACTGAAAGTATAGGAAAATAACATTCCAAGATACAAAACGCAGATTAACATTTCATAAAAAAAACATGTTGTTTCTGCCATGTTTATTAAAGAATATATTTCTATTATGAAATGTCAAGGGCAAGATAAAAATGAAGGAAATAATGGTAAGAGGATTAGTAACAAACATGCCAAACTGATTGTACTTCAAATGTTCAAACTTTGTCGGTATAATATTTTATGTGATGATATGATAGCATAATATTGTGATTTAGTTTTCAGACATACATAGAATAAATTAGGATCTTAGCTCAAGTACAATATTCATTCCCAAACTCCATTATAGAGTTTAATTCAATATGTGTATTTGACAATTGTTCTCATAAAATGATGAAGGTATACAAAAAACAGAGATTGTGATAAATGTTCATTCATTAGTAAAAAGAATGACTTCTGGTGTGTGAGTATATATACAACGTTATACATAATGATATGCACAAATGTCAAAACTATGTTTACTAAACCGCCTAATAATTTTCATTCGCCACTTATTTAAGGACTTAGGACTTGGTTTTTGTTAAATTGAACTTAATTAGGGAAACAGTTCAACTTTTGCCGGGATTTTACTGCTTTAGTTTTGAGGCATTTAAGGAAACTCTAGATTCGGTCTTGTTCTAACAAATGTTATATTTCAAAATTATTAATTAAACCAAAAAAGACGACAAGAGTTGTTACCTATTTAATACTGTTATTGCAAAAAATGAGATCCACTTCTTTGCATGAACAAAATCACTTTAAACAGAAAATGTATATGAACGAGACAGTCTTCCTCTTGGTTTAATTACTGTTACATAAAAGCAAATTACAAAAGTATTGAGCAAACTCCAAGGTATAGTATTAAAGTACCACATCGTTGAGTTATCAAAGAAGAAAAAATATGTAAGATATAAAAAAGACAACAAGCATGACATTAAATTCATACCTTTCTCGGCCTTTTGGCTAAGATCAAGTGTAGTATCTGTTCTTATCAGTTTAATATCTGATATGTGGGCCAATGGTCCACACGATATTAAATTTATTTCTTGAGGGGGAGAGACCACTACAATGGCTTGCTATTGGGTCTCTTAAGTGTCGCTTTTGCGTTGCACTGTTGCAATAGCCTGGCACACCCCACCTAACCTAGTTCAAATTTATGTCCTTCTTACTAGATCCACAATATTTTCTTTAATGTTATATTATTTTTTGATCCTGTTTCTATGCATATGTTTTCTTAAACAGAATGTCGACACAATATTTCACTGGAACAAGCTATAATTAGGAAAAAAACTTGAACAAGAAATCATGTCAAGGAGATAGTCGTAAACTCGATCTAAAACAGAATGTCGACACAAGATTTCACTGGAACAAAGAAAACGAGAGAAACTATATCAAACAAATTCACACAAGAAAAAGGAATTGAAGAGAGGAAGATACTCAATTTTCACGGATCTTAATTAATAGCAGAAATGGAATGAGAAAACTGTGTGCTATATTGTGTTATAATACTCAGTCAAAATGAACCACTTCCTAATGGAGACATAAAGGAATGGGAATGTTATAGTACTGCTCATAATGTTATACAAGCTAACTAATAAAAAATAGAAAGCAAAGCTGAAACCTACCTTCTGCGTTTCAAGTACTAACTAAAAAACGAACTAGGCAGTATTTCTTGATCTTTAATCCTTCCCTAATTTAGGTGATTATCAAGGGTACATATCCTCCTTGCTAGTCATATCCAATCTTTAATTTCTTCGAGTTTTCGAGTAATCAATAGGGTATATTGATTTGTAAGTACCATGGACTCTAGAGTATTTTCAACTCATAACTTTCTGATATTTTTGATTGAGTTTTTGGAAGCATAATGTCAAACTTGAAAGGAATGATTAGAAGCAGACTATATTAGTATCCAACATATAACAAAGTAGTGGATATAAAAAGCGATTGAGCAATAGTTGGAACGCCGGGGAAGATGTCCTCAAGATCTATCAAAGGCCTAGGAAATACATTGCTTACTGGTAGTTGATTAGTTCCTACTCTTCCACAAACTCCATAATATCATAGCAAAGATACTCTCCCTTTCTCCTTTGACATGTGACAGATTTTCTCTCCAATGTTCCTACCTAGCAGCAGTCTAAATGCTCTTATTACACTGCAGCAGCACCTGCTCTGCTGTCTCCAATTTAGACCACTGACAATCACTAGCAACTTGCACCCTTTTTTCGATCAATCTTACACAAGTTGGGAAATACTTTGCCTACGGGTAGTTGAGTCCCACGTCGAAAGAAGGTGAAAGGTATTGAGAGAAGCAAGAGTATAAAAGAACTCGAATACCTTCATCACAACTTACTTACCTGGATGGGGTCAATGGTTGATCATGAAGGATCATGGCCTAGGAGAGTGACCTCCATTGCACTTAGGAGGGGTGCTAACCTAAGGTCTACCCAAGTGGTGGAGCCTACATCATAATTTGTTGCAATGGGGGCCTGCGTTCGCGCGGCCCCCTCTTATTCCAATCTTCAAGTACTTTTTACAGCCCCCTCTTATTCCAATCTTCAAATACTTTTTACATCATAATTTTAATGGTTTTTTTTATATTTTTAATAGTGTTGGCCAATAAAGTTTGGTTTCTGTGCAAATTTTGGACCAGTTGTTTGATATTAAGGTAAACCACTTAGTCTCAGTATGATTAGTTTCCAACGGACGTGGTTTAGCTTTAGAGTAACAACAAGCAAAATTATAACTTGCCACTGCTGCTTCATCAGGCTCTGATTTTTCCTCCCAAACTAGGTGTTGCAGATTGTAATTTCTGATGGAAAATGTTTTGTTTTTGCCATGTCTATCTTGTCTTTATTAGGACAAAGACACCAATCCTTTAATCCTTATTTTAATAAACAATTAAGTAATAAAAGAAATGATTAACCAAATCCAGCACTATGATTTTTGTAGGTATGCATGGTTATATGTTTCAATTGCAAACTAAATTTCATAAAAATGCACAATAATGGCATATGTGAAATAACAATTCAAGAAAAAAACATTTTTTTGAGTCTTGTAGTTTTACTCGCATAATAGCCTTCTCTCAAATCATTTTCCCTCAATTCTTTTTTCCTTAAGACAGTTTTGCATCGGAAATTTTTATCATATCTCAAGCATTTTGATTCAGTCCCAAAATATGGTGTACATTGTTGATGTTGAACATTTTGACTTAATCATTATGGATCAAACAAAAGCACACGGTTTTACTTTTCAAAATAGAATTTTGAAGTTCATATATACAAAATGTACACAGGACAATAACTTGACCAAACAACCTCAAAGTGTATCAAAGTCATTTTCAAAATTTTAGACAGAAAAGTTGCAAAAAAAAATCACCAGCTTCTAGAGATTGTTAGAAATGATTTTGTTTGGACAAATGATAAACACGTGAACATGAAAACAGTTTTCACTTCAACCAAACTACCAATTAGGAGCACAAGTATAGAAAATATTATAAGCCAACAAGCTAATTTACAAAGTAGTTTCTGCTGTCAAATGTGAGTTATATGTTGATGTTTAATCACTAAGTGAAAATTTTAAATTAAGAGTCCAAAAATGAGATTGTGATCTTCAACTTGTATTCTAATATAATAGCAAGTTTGTAGTAACGAGACTTAATGTCTGAAATTTTTAATAGAGGTTGAGTATTGTTTGCTTTTCCTTTTTGGACTATGCCAAACTGTAAGGATCCATGGTGTTTGTAAATCGGAGATTTAAGCTAAAAAATGTATGAATCCCACCCACCACCAAAAAGAGATGGTTCAGAGGCTAGGCTCACCAGGTGTTGTGGGCTAGAGGTGCAGCGGCCCGTGGTGTTGTGGACTATGCCAAACTGTAAGGATCCATGGTGTTTGTAAATCGGAGATTTAAGCTAAAAAATGTATGAATCCCACCCACCACCAAAAAGAGATGGTTCAGAGGCTAGGCTAGAGGTGCAGCGGCCCGTGGTGTTGTGGACTATGCCAAACTGTAAGGATCCATGGTGTTTGTAAATCGGAGATTTAAGCTAAAAAATGTATGAATCCCACCCACCACCAAAAAGAGATGGTTCAGAGGCTAGGCTCACCAGGTGTTGTGGGCTAGAGGTGCAGCGGCCCGTGGTGTTGTGGACTATGCCAAACTGTAAGGATCCATGGTGTTTGTAAATCGAAGATTTAAGCTAAAAAACGTATGAATCCCACCCACCACCAAAAAGAGATGGTTCAGAGGCTAGGCTCACCAGGTGTTGTGGGCTCCCACCCACCACCAAAAAGAGATGGTTCAGAGGCTAGGCTCACCAGGTGTTGTGGGCTAGAGGTGCAGCGGCCCGTGGTGTTGTGGACTATGCCAAACTGTAAGGATCCATGGTGTTTGTAAATCGGAGATTTAAGCTAAAAAACGTATGAATCCCACCCACCACCAAAAAGAGATGGTTCAGAGGCTAGGCTCACCAGGTGTTGTGGGCTAGAGGTGCAGCGGCCCGTGATCCTTCCACTGTCAGGAGTAGGAAGTGTTCGCTGCTCTGTGAAACCAGCCTCACGCTATACCCTCCTATCTAAGACTCACAAGACCCGTGCCTTCGCACAAGTCCTGTGGCTCACCTCGCAACTTGGAGCGGGCAGGCCAGCATAGTGCAACCAACAGACCAACCTATTAAGCCTTAGCCGTGTTCCATCACCTTGGTGCCCCCACATGGGTCACAAGCTAGCGCTACTCAGCTCGGCGAACTAACAAGCATGTCAAACATTTATGAACACTTTTTTGTGTGATGTTCGAGCCAATGTGGGACTTAATGGATATAAATTCGTATAGTATATATAATATTTAGATGGAACATGTTATAAAACTAATCATTGAAAAGATGTGGTTGTCAAGGTTTGTTAAATGGCTTGCTTTGTACTCGGTACTCCCCAACTACTTTTGACATGTCATAACACTAATCATTGAAAAATGTGGTTGAGGGATTTAATCTACATATATAGAGGGATAACTGGACACTCAAAAAGTGAATATCCAAAACCAATGACAAAGTAGTAGAATGTAGCACATACAATTTGTAAAGTGAACAAACATATATACCTACCTGGTTTAGCTTAGAGTAACAACAACCAACATTATAACTTGCCACTGCTGCTTCATCGGGCTCCTGCTTTGTTCCCAAAACTGACTCAAATCTCTCTAATGCTTCCTCGTACTTAGCATTCCTTCAGCATTTAAACAAGAAAGCAATGGACATTAGGATTATCAGGAAGATACCATTATTTTTATTATTCTAATCTAGATATACTCTTAGAAAATTGGATGCTTCAAAATTAAAGCATTTTTTCCCTCAAACTAGGCGTTGCAGATTACAATTTCATATAAGAATGTCATGTCTATCATGTCGTTACAAGAAACAAGTCACCAATCCTTTATTTCTTATTCTAATAAGCAATTGAGTAATAAAGGAAAATATTTACTTAATCCAGCACAACATTACGTTTTTTGTATTTTTGCATTTTTGCATGTATTTTTGTACTTTTTGTATTTTTGGATGTACTTTTGTATTTTTGCATGATTATATGTAATTCAGTATTAAATCCAGGAAAGTAATGGATATCAATGAGATGCCATTAATTCTTCAGTCCTAATCTATATTACAATTTCATACCTCGAGAAATATAACCATGTGTACCAGCAAAAAAGCTAAAACCCGTCTGAGAGTTTTCAGCAACACCAAAATCAGCAATTTTTGTCTCATAATCTTCATCAAGCAGCTAAAATCATCAACCATCACCTTTCTCTAATTGCTTCACAAACCATCCTGTTTTTCTTCAGCGTGATTCGATAAACCTTTCCATGAGCACCATGGCCGATTAAATTATCTTCGTCCAAATGACTTATTTCATCAGCATCAATATCCACTTGTGAAAAGATGCTAGTTTCCATTTTTTTACTTGCTTCCTTTTGACATTTTTGTAACTTGTTTGCCCTTTGAATCCTGAAGCTTCTACACATCAAAACCGCAGTGATGAAGATAACAATAATGACCAAGAGCATTACATATTTATAACCAAAGAGAATTCTTCTATGACTAATGATCTTTATCACAAATCTTCAAATCAGAATTTATTGAACTTTTTGGAATTTTCTCAACGCATGAACCTTTGTTTCAACCAAAAACAGCATTGTGGATGTTGAATATTTTGATTTAGTCATGTCTCAAACATTATGGATCAAACATAAAGTACACTATTTTACGTTTTAAAAAAGAATTTTGAAGTTCATATATATAAAATGACACCTCATGTAATGTACAATAACTTGGTCATACAATATTCACTAAATTAGGCCTCTAATAACCTCCTTTGAGCATGAAATGATATCATTGATCTCAAAGTGTATCAAAGTCATATTCAAAAAGTTGAGATTAATCATCACTATAATGAATGTGATTATTAGCCATTAGTCATGACTATAGGTGAAAAGTCATATAAGAAGCTAAATAGATTATTTGAAAGGCTTCTAATGCATTATTATAATTAGCTAAATGGATTATTTGAAAAGCTTATAATGCACTATTTGAGCATGATATTATATCACTAATCTCAAAGTACTAAAGTCATATGTGTTCAAAGGTTATTCTTCTCAAAAATATTAATGCAATAACAAACTCCATAATCTTAAAAGCTCAAAGAGAGAATGGGAAATTACAGTCCCTGTGACATTACATAAATAAGCATCACATAAACAAAAAATAATACAAGGAAAACAATATAACATGCTCAAACCATGTCCAAGTAACATTACCATGCACATATATTTTTATTCAAACTACAGGAGGCAAATTGGATGGACCATATAAAAGAGGCTTGAATTTCAAGTCTCCTATTCATGTCTTGGCGTCAGAGTGAACCAAAGAAACAACATATAATAGAATAGAGGGAAGCAAAAACTATTGAGCTGTGATTGGTGCCATTAATAGTATTAATGGAAATGGACAATTTTATTGATCATAAAGTTTCTTATGTATATCATACTAGTAAATAAAACAAGATACTGCAAAGGTGGCAACAAAAAAATTGAGACCTATAATTAACTACAAAATATACACGGTGAAATCAAATGTGATGGAATGATATTGCTCAATCAATTCCTTAGAGCTAAACCGGTTGTTTTCTTGTGTCGACGCAAAGGGGTTATTTCTTAATAAATATTCCAAAAATTGATTTGATGGCATTGATAAATGATTCATGGAATCTTTTCAATAACGGGTCGAATTCTGGGGATGCCCTTGCATTTGCAAGGTCAGGATTAGTTCTGATTCTCTGTTAAACAACAACAGCATTAGGCAGCTTATTTAGCAAATATGATATTGTAACTTGTAGAGTTATTATAGTTATCACCTTAAAGTCCTCAAAAGCCAGAATTTAGAGCTTCTCCAAGTGTAGAAAATGCATAGAATGTCAGGTGGAATCTATTTAGAAAACAACAACAAATTAACATGGCTGTTCTAATAATCTTATTGTTGCTTGGTGGCTGGCACCCCCTAATGAACCAACAAAAAAAGAGATGGTTCAAGGGCTAGGCTCACCAGGTGTTGTGGACCGGAGGTGCAGCGGCCCGTGATCCAAGGGCTAGGCTCACCAGAATTTAGAGCTTCTCCAAGTGTAGAAAATGCATAGAATGTCAGGTGGAATCTATTTAGAAAACAACAACAAATTAACATGGCTGTTCTAATAATCTTATTGTTGCTTGGTGGCTGGCACCCCCTAATGAACCAACAAAAAAAGAGATGGTTCAAGGGCTAGGCTCACCAGGTGTTGTGGACCGGAGGTGCAGCGGCCCGTGATCCAAGGGCTAGGCTCACCAGAATTTAGAGCTTCTCCAAGTGTAGAAAATGCATAGAATGTCAGGTGGAATCTATTTAGAAAACAACAACAAATTAACATGGCTGTTCTAATAATCTTATTGTTGCTTGGTGGCTGGCACCCCCTAATGAACCAACAAAAAAAGAGATGGTTCAAGGGCTAGGCTCACCAGGTGTTGTGGACCGGAGGTGCAGCGGCCCGTGATCCAAGGGCTAGGCTCACCAGAATTTAGAGCTTCTCCAAGGGTAGAAAATGCATAGAATGTCAGGTGGAATCTATTTAGAAAACAACAACAAATTAACATGGCTGTTCTAATAATCTTATTGTTGCTTGGTGGCTGGCACCCCCTAATGAACCAACAAAAAAAGAGATGGTTCAAGGGCTAGGCTCACCAGGTGTTGTGGACCGGAGGTGCAGCGGCCCGTGATCCCTCCACTGTCAGGAGTAGGAAGTGTTCGCTGCTCTGTGAAACCAGCCTCACGCTATACCCTCCTGTCTAAGACCCACAAGACCCATGCCTTCGCACAAGTCCCGTGGGTCAACTCGTAACTTGGAGCGGGCAGGCCAGCATGGTGCAACCATCAGACCATCCTGTTAAGCCTTAGCCATGTTCCATCACCTTGGTGCCCCCACATGGGTCACAAGCTGACGCTACTCAGCTCGGCGAACTAACTATCATGTAAAACATTTATAAAGACTTGTTTGTGTGATGATCTATCCAATGTGGGACTTAATGGATATAAATTTGTATAGTATATATACTATTAAGATGGAACGTGTTATAAAAGTGATGATTGAAAAGATGTGGTTGTAAAGGTTTTTTAAATGACTTACTTTGTACTAGGCACTCCCCACAACTTTTGACATGTTATAACACTAATCATTGAAAAGATGTGGTTGGAAAGGTTTTTGTATGTTTGCATGATTATATGTTGCAAATCAAATATCATAAAATGCCCAATAATGAGATATGTGAAATAAAAGTTCTAAACAAGAAAATGTAGTTAATCTCTATAGCAGATTGAACAAAGTACTTCCATTATAAATGAAATGTGATGGAAGACTGTTAAAAAGCGTAATAAGGAGAGAAAGAAAACGATTTTCAGAGTCGGTGGAGTCTTGTATCAAATAATTTTCCCGGCACTCTTTCAATTTAAGAATTACAATTTTATAGTTTAAATAGAATGAAACTTACTTGAATTTCCCTGACTTTGTTACTGACTACACCAGAGTTCCTCTTAGCTGTGTCTGATAATCTCTCCTTATCAGTGAACTCACTACCAGTTTCTATCTTTCATATTTTCTGCATTCTCTTGAGTAGCGGGCCCATTCCTTGGCGAGTTGTGTACATTGTTCATCCATATTCCACAGCTGGCCAAACATAGGTCCCAAAAACAGCACTGCAGATGTCAAACATTATAGGCCTCTATTTAATGCACATATGACAATTTCATTATCATAGAACCTTAAGCCAACCTTCATATATATTCAACGAGGTGTTCCTTGTCAAGAATATTAACTCAATATCAAAATCCACAATCATAACCTGATTAAGCTGAACCTTGACCAAATAAGGGCTTATTTGGATAAACAACTTAATTAAGTGCTCGTCATAAAATGCTTATATGTACTAGTATAAGGTATTCTCTATAACAGAAAGTAAACTAAAACCAAACAGTTATTATTTAAACTGTAAGCTATTTGTTAAGCTGTCACGGAGAGTGTCGAAATCAGCTGAAAATAACTAGTGAAAATGTGATGTATAGTTTTCATAAACCCTGCCAAACAGTCTTATTCAAATAGATAAGCTTAAATAACACAATCCAAACAACTCTCAAAAAAGGCGTGTCCATTTCTGCGTTGGTGTCGGACACCTGCACCAACACTTGGTAGCATACAAACCCTAAGGCTTGAATTAAAATAAGTAAGTTGAAGATGATGATAGCGTATCTAGTTAGCGTAAACCTGGTTCCTTGAAGCTTCTTCTTTGGATGATTCTGTCGCAACATCATATAAAACTTTCACCGCAAAAAGGAATGGGTTTTGATTTTGAGAAACTATATGAAAAAGGGTTTCTTCAGCAAAACTATTTGGCGGTCACAACAAAATAAGCTCAAAGGGTTTCTTTCTATCACGTTGCCACTCCCTTTACCCGGCAATTTTTCATATTTATGGATTTCTTTATAAACTTATTATTTTATGATTTATTTTTTTTGCTTAATAATAACTTTGTTTATAAAATATTGGGACTCTATTTTAATATATTACAAATGTAAAAGCTATTCTATAGAAATATCTCAATTGTGAAAATTTAACGATGATTCAAAGATTATTACATGGATTTTATTTTCTGTGGAATTTTCAATAAGTCTTCTGCCTGATGCAACCCAGAAATAATTATTTAAATTAAAAGATAAATCAACCATTAGATTTAGGAGAAGAGGAAATTAAAGAAGAATATAAATATAATTGACCTGATTTAGTAGAAGAAAAAATTAGATAGCAAAGGAAGTGTTCAGACTTAACCTAAATGGAGAAAAGATATATTTATGTTTAAGATTGATCACAGAGTGAACAAATATGAAAGAATGAATTTGCTAAAGACAACACAATAGAATATATATTTATATATATTTATAGGTTAAAATCTAACCTGAGGGACAAGGTTCAGCAGTTGTTGTCTTAACCCGATAGCATTAAATATCATGGTTACTAAGACGCCTATGAGAATGGGTTCATGTACCGCTCTCGCAAGACGGTGAAAGTTTGCTAGCATAAATGTAGCTCCATTTATGGGGCGGTTTTGCAAAGCACAGAACATGATAAAAAGCTCAGCTCTAGAAAGAGTGGTAATGTTTTCTGCTTTACCAAAAAGGGTGTGAGCTAGGATTTTGTGAAAATATCTTAAAGCTGAGTTGTGTGTGTTTTCATAATGCATGTCCTCAGGCTCAGGGTTACTAATGCATGTAAGGGACGAGATTGTTTTATCGAAGGCAACATCGAGGGTCATCGAGGGACTACGATCTTTTTTATCGAAGGGTCATTGCTAAAGTGTCTCATATTCGAGGGACATGATTGTATTTCTGAGGCAACGAGCGAGGTTACCCTAGAGGTGCACGTGTGAAAAAAGTGTGTTCGTTTCAAGTTATTTTATTCTTTGATTAGGTCATCTAGCGATTGATTTTTGAATCTTATCATACACGCCTAGTTACTATACAGTATATGGAAAACAGTAAATTGTGGGAATTGAAATTCTACGCTATTATAAAGTATTCGGGAATGGGGGTACAATTGTTACAAATGGGGATGAATCAAATGAAATAGCAATGTCCAAATATCAAACAATACAACCAAATCGAATTTTTGTGCGATTTAATTAAAGCTATGATAATCCATGAGATAAAATCAACAAAGTATGAAATGAAATGTATTTACTTGAAAAGAAAGAAAGGTAAAACCTATTCTAAAAAATAAAAATAATTGATTAAATTAAAATCTTTATTTTTGTATTTTTTATTTATTAATTATATAAATAAATTTAAAGAAAGAAAACAAGCTAAGTTACTTTTTTTTATGTTTTATTAAATGTAAAAATTAATCAAAACAAGTTTATATAAAAAAGAAAATGATAAAAATTAATCACAAAAACTTAAATCAAATTAATGAAAATGTTTTAAGTTTTATTTAGCATTTTTGCAAAACAAATAAAACAAATTAAAAAAAAGAAAGAAATATGGGCTCAAGCTGATTTTAGATGTTAGGCCCAAAAGAAAAGTTGTTCATGTTGTTAACAAAACAAGCCAGGGGGGGTGTATCCAGAAATAACGCATGGGCTTTAGGGCAATGTGATGGGTTATCAGCAAACCAAACACAAATATCTTAAACCAAACCTAATTGTTGATTAAGGGGACAAAACAAATTAGGGTTCTTAGAACCCCTTTGTTCACAGTGGCGCCGCTCATCTCTTTCGCTTAATCTCCGTATCATCCTCTAAATCTCTCACTAAACATCCCTGTCTCATTTTCGCGAACAAAATTGCTCATGCCGTCTCTTTGCCTCACCGCGATTCGCAATTTTGAAACCCTAATTTTGAAATTGGATTTATGTCTAAAAATGTCCGAATCTGGTTTATCTGATCCTCCTCCCCCACTCTCGGTCTCCAGAACGCCACTAATCTCGCCTCCCTAATCCAGTTTCAGTGATTTTCTTTGAAAAAAGGGTGAGATTCTGTTATTCTTAGAGCTTAACGATTTATTGATTTTTTTTGTCTTGTTTATGTTTTCTTTTGACTACTCCATTCCTTGAGATGTAGGGAAATATGTTATGAGGAAGGTGAAGAATCTATACCTGTTTGGAACTTTACAGTTTCTTGCGATTTTGAAAGGGAGCGGAGAGAACGAAGGCGGCGTTCCTTGGTGGCCGGAGCTGCGCGAGGGGAGGAGATGAGGATGATACTCGTTGCTTTTCTGGTAACTTTCTTTTGTTTCCTATGTTTGAATGATGATGATGATGGTTAATGGTTTTGGGTTTGTTGGGATTTTGTTTGGGATCTTTGATGATGTTACTGGTTTGGTTTGAAACTTTTGGTTTTGGAGGTTTTAGGATGATGTTACTGTGTTTTGAGTTACCATGTTGTTGGTTTGATTCTTGGCCACTGTTTTTTGAGTTGGTGAAGCTTTGTTACAGATTCAGTTAATGGTGTTACTGGTTTGCTGTTAGTTCTGGTGTCTCAGTTTGAGACTTGTTCCAGTTTTTTTTTTAATGTTGTTTTGGATCTGTGGCTTTGAGGTTTTGACAGTTTGTTTGCCTTTTAGTTTTGGAGGTTTGGTGATTTTCTGTATTTTGATGATGGTTCAGATTTGAGACCTGGTTTTTGATTATGGTGTTTTTGTTACTTGGAGATTTGTGTTTTTCTGAGTTTTTAGACCTATGTTTTTTGCTTCAGATTAGGTTTGGGATTTTGACAGTTTGGATGCTTGGTTTGCTGAGCTTTCTTTAGGCTTGTCAACTGTTTTTTGATATTTGGCTTTTGGGAGTTTTGATTTTGTACTGATGGTTTTTGGCAGTTTTAGACTTCTGTGTATTTGGTTTGACAAGTTTTTGATCTTGCTACAGGTTTGTAACTTGTTGATTACTGTATTTTTAGGTTGGATGTTGTTTTTTCAGTTGGGACTTATATTGGTTTTTGAGGTTTTAGACTTATCATGGTTACTAAGACGCCTATGAGAATGGGTTCATGTATCGCTCTCGCAAGACGGTGAAAGTTTGCTAGCATAAATGTAGCTCCATTTTATGGGGCGGTTTTGCAAAGCACAGAACATGATAAAAAGCTCAGCTCTAGAAAGAGTGGTAATGTTTTCTGCTTTACCAAAAAGGGTGTGGGCTAGGATTTTGTGAAAATATCTTAAAGTTGAGTTGTGTGTGTTTTCATAATGCATGTCCTCAGGCTCAGGGTTACTAATGCATGTAATGTCCCCCCGGATATAATCTAGCTCACCTACATTAAAAAGCTCTTCCTGGACTACGGTAAATGCATTCAAGTGGTCTTCATATATCTTCATGTCTCCTCAAGGATATTCGTGCCAAGTTTCAAATCTCGCATTGCAAGTTTGCTTAGTCAATGGTTCAGATGACTGAAAATGACTCCATTGACCCAAAAGCTGGCCTTTTGTGAGACCAAGTTCAAACGATTATAGCTTCTTCATTAATCGATATTCTTGAGCGGTTCTTTTTGTGTACGACTCTCCTTGACGTCATCTTCAATTTCTCTTCACAAATCAAGCGCTGATTACGCACGGAAGATCACCAAAATTCAAATATTTTAGAGGTCGCTTCATGGATTTGACCTAATCTTAAGTAATTGTCGTCTGACTTCTAAGAATTGTGATTTCCTCAAATCCCAGGATTTTGAGACGATTATTTCTGCATATTGTCATAAGTGGTGTTGTTTACGAGTTTATCTTCAAAGATCAAAGGAAAATTGTGTTTGGAAGACTTTGAATTTCAATTCATACCACAATTGTTTTCTCAGGACTATGTTTCTCATGTTGAAGTTGTTAATTTTACAAGATTTATGAATACTCTTAAAGCATATGTTTTGTCATCAAGAGATTGAATTCAGGTTTGGCAATGAAGTTCCATTTGAATCGAGTAAGGCATGCGAGTTTCATTTTGATTGCATGTTTCATGGAATCAAGATGGTATACAATGTCCAAAACATACCCAATATTATCAAACAAAATTCACTCAATACATATTCGAAATCGCATTGATTCACTTATGTGTCAATCTCCTTCAAGCTTTTGAGACCAATGAGTTTACACAAGGAAATTTCAAGTTTTTATCTCGCAAATCATTCAAAGTTGTTACATTACTACAAGAGATTTACAAATTTCAAGTTCCATCAATTTAAGTTACAAGTTACAATACAGACTATAATGGTTTTGTTTACAAAGAAAGAAATAATATTGCCTCTTCAAGTCTTCTTTGCTTCATCTTCAAGCAACACATCCACTCCTTGCTAGACATGGTCTTCTCTTCATCTTTTAACCTTGCCTTGCTCGCCATCCACTCCTCGTGTTCATGAAACAAGAAAAGGAGAAAATTAGCAAACAATCGACATGTGAAAATTCAAGCGAGAATTATTTGTTAAAACAAGAAAGCTCATCATTAGGATTTGCATTTGGAATCAGAACTAAAATGGTTTTTTTTTAAATCATAGGTTGTCTTCTCCTATTTTTGCAAATCACAAAAAGTTTGTTCTTTTTGGTTAACAAAAAGAAAAGAAGTTTGCAACTATTTTCCTACTGCAAAAGTAAGTCAAAATTGTCAAATATGCAAGCTGAAAAGCACCAATACAGCATGGCAACTAGGCAAACAAGGTAACTGCAGCAGCACATAACAACAAGCTGCAACAAGACAGCAACAAAAACCAGCAAACTGCCCAAATGCAGCATAAACAAAAGCAAAACAGCAGTCTGCAACAAGACAACAACAAAAACCAGCAAACTGCCTAAATGCAGCATAAACAAAAGCAAAACAGCAAAGCAAAAACCAAGCACGTCAGCAACAATTCAAAAATGGCAAACTATTAAATAGCTCCAAGCCCTGCATCATCATTTTCCAAATAGCAAATCCTTCAGAAATTATAAAAAAGCACATTTGTTTTGCATCATAGAAAGATAAAGAGGAAAGAGACAGAAAGATATCGCCTAGCCTATACAACAGTCCAAACACCCTGCAAAACAGCCTTTGCATATTGCTGTAAAAACCTGTTATTAAACAGTCAAAACCAGACAAAAATGGCCCTGCTGTCCACTGCAAATACTAACCAAAAATTACATCAAAATGGTTAAAGGAAATTGTGTGAACAAATCCTGAAAACAGTTTTCCAAAACAGTTTAAAACTCAACAGTTTTCCCCCACTTTTCACCCTCATCTCAATATAATAACAGCCATTGGTCGATTAGAGAGGAGGACAAAAAAATTGCCAATATAACATTGCCATACAGATCCAACCTGGGGGGATTCTAACACCAATCTCTCAAAAAACCAGACCCTTCACAAATCATACCCACACAGCAAAAACACATCAGAAACCAACAATACTCAATGAAGAGCAGAGTACACACATAAATCACACAGAGAGAACTCAACTCAGAAAACTCTCTCTAATCCTCTGATCATTCGCAATTTATCTGCAAGAGAAGATTAACCAGAAAGTACAGAAGGAAACGAACTTACCTCAGAAAGAACTCTCATCCTTTTCACACTCTCTCGCTCATAACTGCGACAATCACTCAACCTTAACTGAACCAAATCATTCTCTTCTGCAAAACTGCAACCCTTATCAATTCATTCTCAGCCACAACCTCGTGGAGTTAGTAACAACGCAAACAAATCGAACAACAAACACAGAAAACATAGGAGGCCGCACAGATCCAGAAAGAAGAAGACTAGAAGAAGAGTTAGTGGCATACCTAGAACATTCACGGGGTAACCTTTATCCATTTTGTATTTCTCCTCTTTCTGCGATTACCAATTGCTTCTTATATACCTCTGTGAATTCATAAGTGACTAAGTCGGGATTTATAAGGGCTTTGGGTTGCTGGGCTCGCTGATTTTTCACGCCTGATTTTGAGTAATATCATATTATAGTGTGTGATACGGTGGGAGAACTGACTTGAGGGTTTGCGTTTTATCGCAAATGTTGCGATTAGCAAGAGTCGCCACCGACTTTTCTTTTATCCAAAAGGAAAGGTGAAAAAGCACAGGAAAGACCTTTGAGATGTTTTCTTGAGTTCGGGGGGTAGATTATGAAAAGGGAAGGTATTAGCACCCTTTTCATCCATGGTTTTCCATGGGCTCTTAGTTACTTGCTTAGATCACTTGCTTTTGTTTGTTTGAAATTGTGTTTGGTGTGGTTTTAAAAGTATTTTGTAAAAGAGGGCATTCGTTTAGGAAATCTTTGTAATGATTCTCGTTCGTAAGAATGTATACAAAGATGTTTGTCTTTTGAAAATGTTTTCAATGATTGTAAGATGTTTTTGAAATGTGTGTGTTTGTTTTGGAAAATAGAAAAGATAGTTGTTTGAAAATAGAGCAAGTAATTAAGAGCAAACTACCTACTCAAATGTCTTTCTTGTACATTTTCTATTCCTTTGACATTGTTGTCTTACCATTGATTTGGTAAGCAACCCTATCTTTGGATGTAAATGGGACGGGCGTGAGTCATCGTACAACCATGATTAGCAATGTTTGCAAAGTACCTTAGCATTTTGAGGGACCAAGATCATTTTGTAAGGCAACTTTTGAATAGCGTCATCGAGGGACTATGATCTTATATTTGTTTGTTTTGCCAAGATACTTCGCATGCGTAATATGGCCATTTTTATTTTAGGCAACCAAGTGGAGAAACCCTAAGGATGCTTGTGTGCAAATGTACCATTTTCATGCTTTGATTTTGTCTTGTATTTAGGGTTTTCTATTTTGCTTTGTTTCTATCTTATCATACAAACCCTAATTACTAATCATGGCATGTAAAGCGATAAATGGCGTAATGTAAATATTACTAAGCTATTAAAACAATTTATAGGAGGGGGGAATACAAATTTGACTGGGGATTTGCAAGAATATAAACCTAAATTAATTATTACAACCAAATCGAATTTGTACGAATTAGAATAAATAAAACATAATATTTAAAGATGCAATACAATGTATATGTAAGAAAAGATTGTTTTGTTTTGTTTTTATGTAAAAGAGATTTTAATCTAAACCTAAAAATGTAAGGAAAAGAATTAAAAAATTTAGAAGGGAGGTTTTAACCCTAATTTCTATTTTAAAAGAAAATAAAGTTCTTTTTATACTGTTTTTGTATATTTTTTGTATTAAAATAATAAATAATATTGTATAAAAATATAAAGTTTTCTTATATGCAAAAATAAATATTTATAAGTATGGTATGAAAAAAGAAATGAATAAATTAAACTAAATATATTTTAATTATATTTTACAAGTTTATTAAGAAAATATATGATATCTATTAAAAATAAAATATATTTTTTATGTGAAAAATGAATCAAAATAAAATAAAATGCAATATTATGAAATTTATATTTTTTAGGATTTTTTAGGTATCAAAAAAAATATTTAATATATTAAAAATGAAAATAAAATAAATAATATAAAAAATGTCAGGGGGGTGATGTAGCAAAACTGGCAGCAATGTTAGCAAAAAATCATGGCCCAAAAGACCAAGCCCAAACCTGCAAAAATAGCAAAATGGAAAGGAGAAAAATGTGAAAATCACAAAAGTAGCGCCCAGGTTCGAACCCAGAACATGGGTCTCACCAGCGCGCTATTTTGCCACTGGGGTGGCTATACATCCATTGTCTTAAGGAAAGCAAAAATAATATGACATGTAACAAGTCCTTGCCCTGTACTTCATCTTCTTCCCCAAGCTTGGCCAGACATCCTGTAACTCTCTCATTCTTCCATAAAAATGGAAACTCATAACATGAAAGTTGTAGTATTTGAACTCACGATTCCAACCATATAAGTTATGTAAGCTATCAATCAAAGATCAAAGAGAATTTTAACAGCCCTAAATTTAAACCTAATATTTTCATAAACTTCAAGTTCTAAATTCTCTCAACTCAAGTAAAATAAATGCAAGATAAAGATATGTATAGTTTCGTTGCAATGAGGGCTACATTTTTTATTCACAAATCGTGGCCAATGGTTGCCTGTATAAGGAGATAAAAGTTGAGATTTTACCTCCTTCATTTGGAATCGTGGATGGAACTGGAGTGAGTTTGATGGAGGCCTGATGCTTGCTTGAGCTTCCTTGAACTTCCCTGAATGTATTCCAACCCTTGCCTTGCTCTGAAAGTACCTGAAACTCCTTGGCCAAGTCAAACTGCAAGCTTTGAAAGCAACAATGGCAGATGATGGAAAAGTGATTACAGAACAGGGATAAAGGTATGGATTGGTTTGATATCAAGCAGGTAAGATGTTTTGATGATCAATAAAGGAAACACACGAGCCAAATATGAGATTGGTATCCTTATGTCAAAACTGCAAGTTTGGACAATTTTTTGGTGTTTTTGTGCTTGGGAGTGTTTCAGGTCTTAACTAATTGTGTACTAAGTTGTATTATGTTTGTATATTATTATGGAATTGGTTTCATGTCAACCCTTTAACAGCTGTGCCAATTCTAGCCTTTTGGCCACTTTTCTTGCATTTGAAGTCAAGTGAAGGGACAATGCTTGCCATGCTTGTACTTGCTCTCTTAGGGTTGGTATCAACTTGTACAATTTGCTTTAGACCTGTGAGACTTGTATGTACAATGGAGACAGGTTCAATGCTCAAGATTTGTAAAGTTGCAAAAGTTGATCTTTTTCAAAATGGCAATGGTCACTTTTTGCCATAAATGGAATTACCACTTGGATAAAGGCTCTAAGGCATGGATCAAAGCTTTGTCAACTGAGTAAGCATTAAATTAAGGAGTGAGGAACAAGTTTGGGACCTGCAAAGCATGGATTAGGCAGCATAGGTACTGATTGCAACTTTGTTCTTCATGAAATGGCTTGGACAAAAAGTGAGAAAATGCCAACTTCATCTCTTCGATTCTCACTACTCAAAAATTATCTTGAGTAGTTCTTAGACATTTTGGAAAGCTTGCAATGTGCTATATAACTCATCTTTGAAATTAATTTTGAGATACCTCTTGGAACTAGGTGAAAAATTGCCATGAAGTTGGGTCCAAAACCTGCCTAAATTAGGGCAAAATTTCACTAAGTTATTTAGTTCATGACCATGTATTCATAAATTTATATCTTGAGATCCAAGCATATTTTGGGAAAAGTGTGTGAAGCAGAGTTGTAGATTTCATGGAGTTCTACAACTTTCATGTTGGGAACTTTCTTTGAATCATTATGCATCATGTTGAAAAAATGGCCTAAAGTTGAGAAAAAATAAGAAATTTTCTATACTTAGAAAATTTCTAAGTTAAGAAAAATTTCAAATTTAAACCCTAATGTTCAAACTTGGATTTCTTGATGAACAAGTTTCACATTTTGACATGTTTTGATGAATTATGACCCTTGGCACTTGATTTTGACCAAAAAGTTAAAGTTTGACTTTTCAGTGTATAGTTGACTTTTGATCAGTTGACTGCAAATTTCATTTGTCAATCCAATGAAATTGAAATGTTTTGAGCCATGTAATAAGGTCAAGATGATGTAATTGAATCCTTGAAATCATGCCTTAACTCAATTGGTCATTTGCTAGGTTAAAAACCAGAAATTGCCCTTTCTCAATCAAGACCCTAATTTTGACCATTTTGCCCTTTTGATGATTTGATCAAATTTCTTGAGGAATTGTGATCCAAACTTGAACAAATGATACATATAAACTTAAAAAGTTGATATGGATCAAGAATTATGAAGTTTGACTGTAAATTGGCCATGGTTGACTTTTTCCCCAATACAGTTGATTTTTAGGTCAACTGTCTAATTGACTGAGCAAAAGTGTGGTTCAAGGTTTGAAACTTGTCCTGAGTGATCTTAGAGATCCATAATGATGCTTGAAAGTCACATGAGGCATTGATAGTCCAAAAATCCTTGTGCAATCTCAAACCCTAATTTTGGATCATCAGTGCAAGAAGATATGCCTTGAACTGACCAAACCCTAATCTAGTCTTGTGTCAAAGAAATCTTGTGAGAAAAAACTTGATAAATGAGAGGGAAAATTTTGGGGTACAACATAGTGCGAGATTGATTTTGAGAGAGTTTGAGTATGGTGATGGAACAACGATCGTATGAAACCGTTGGAAACATAGGAACTTTGTTGATTTCTTAGCGTGCAAGGATTTGGGAATAGGGTAAGAGTTAAGTGTCTATTATTTTGCATGAAAGAGGCACAGCCTCATTTGTTTCCCCTCTAGGGTTTCATCAACCCGTATGCGATTACAACAGAGGTGGACCCTGGGTCGACCCGGTTCGGCCCAGGCCCACCATTTTTTTTAATCCCAAAATTATTCAATTCTTAATATTTGGTATTATTGAAGTGCCATCATAAACGAATGAGTCAGCTGGAGCAGTGGTGAACGCGTGACTTTGAAAGCTTGATGTCTCGGGTTCGAGTCCCTCTGGGACATTTTTGTGTTTTTTTTAATCTTTTCATCATCTTCTTCTTTTACTATTAGACAAAATCACCAAAAAAAGTGCTTGGGATTTTAGAAGCCCATACGAAAATCATGACAACACCTTCAGCTTTCTGTTTTATACCTCCTCTTATGTTTGATTTAGTATTTCTTAATTTTAGGTTTAATCTAATTATTTAGTTTTTTAAGTTTAGTTTAGAATTATCTTAATAATTTTAGCTTAGATTTAATTTAATCTTTAGTACCTTTTAATTTTAATTAAATAAAAAAATATAAATTTCAAAATAAATTAATTAGTTTAGTTTAGGACTTGGTAAATATTTTTATTAATTAACTTCTTTTC